CTCTTCCTCATTTGCGGTGTGCAAGGATTGGCGACATGCTGCTGGAGCGCAGCGCTGGTCCATACAGCGCTGCTTGGAGGTGAAGGCAGCTGGAGCTCAGCCTGGCTATGGCGAGCGGTCCAGCTTGAGGAGGAGGAAGAAGGGGGTAAGGTAGGAGAGTGGCGAGGTACTTACCTGGCTATGGTGGACTCCATCTTCATCACCTGGTAGGGCGCTGCATCTGGAAGGCCCCCACTGGGGTAGTACGGCACCAAGGAGGTCCGAGCAGGGTCAGGCATGGCGGAGCAGCAAGCAGCACCATAGCTGCTTTGGGGTTGGCCGTTGCACATCAGGGCTAGGCCCAAGTAGTCCGCCATGGCCTAGGCTTAGAGAGATGAGAGGAGGAGGAGCCATGGCTATGGTGGACCGATGTATGAGTCAGCAGTGAGGGGGAACTTCGGACATTGATTCTGGATCATTCATTCATTGTTATTATTATTATTATTGCAAGAGGAATAAGATTGGGGGAAGTTGGAAGGAGGAGGAAGGTGGAGAGAGAAGGGGGAGTTGTCATTTGTCTTGCTGGTGTACTTCTTCTTCTTCTTCTTCTTCTTCTTCTTCTTCTTCTTCTTTCTCTCTCCTCTGGTCCATATCTCTTTGCAAGTGCTTTCATTTCTTTCGCAATTTGGTGGCATTGTCTTTCATTGTGAATTGCACTTGGGAAATGACCAGGATCGTAACAATACCAAAGAATTGCATGGCATTATGTTACAAGGAAGCTGACCGCTTCTGGGCTGGAAATTTTGCGACCCGAGATGAGAAAACCAAGGCGGCACTGCAAGTCAAGTAGATAGTGAAGATCCTAGCCAAACAAGCGCTAGCCTGGAACCGAGCCAGCCTTTGACAGCATAGGTTCTCTAGCGCCTGTTGAGAATCCATCGCTGGCCCGTTGAGAGTGAACGTGGATGGTCCCCCACCTCCCTCACGCACGGGTTCCCAAGAGAGGCTGGCGTAGGACTTCTCCTTTAGATTTGGGTTTCTTGACTTTTTTCGGGATATGATTCCTCTCCATATGTGAAGGAGAGCGGTCCAGTGGGGAGGAGTAAGGGAGGGGTCGTGTTCGATTCTCGGGAGTGTTTGGTGATCGCTTTTTGCGGCCAGTATTTGGGATCCATTCTTTGTTCATAACCCATAATCTACCAGACATGATGGTCAGGCTTTAGATGAGCGCCACCAGAGCAGCTCTGATGCTATCTAGCGCTACCATCTGCACCCGAATAGAACGCCGGGTCATTATCGCTGCATCTAGACTGAAAGTTGGGCCAAATGCAGCTATAATGACCGGGCGTTCTATTCGGGTGAAGACGGCAGTTTATGCCATGCTAGCCTACGTCGACTTAACAACTTGACTACCCATTTGATCTGAAGGGCTTTGGTTTCCTGCTGCCTGGGGTCGATAATCCCCTGGTAGTCCTCCTTTGGATGCTTTCCTCATGATATAATGCCAGGCAATCTTGGGAAGTTATGTAATTAGTTGTGTTCGGGTCACCTGAGCAAAGGTAGGCCTTTGCTCTGCGGTTCAGCTCCTTAAGGGTGTCGTCTGGTATGGTCCAAAATCAAAGCAATATACCACATCATGGAGAAGATTGAGGTATTGATGTTCAAGGCTCTCCCTAGTAGTAATGAAGTAAACACTTCCCACTATTTCTGAGTGTTTTTTGGATATGAAATTTTGAATCTGCGGTCTCTCTCGGGGTGTTGGCCTGACTGTGTGTCCTTACACAAATCATCCACCCATACTTTC